AGGGGGGGGGGGGGGGGGGGGGCTGACAATGTGACCATGTTTCATGTTACACCCTCAATATGGATGTAACATGAAACATGGTCCACAAGGTGAACTTAGCCTTTAACCACTTCCTAACCGCGGTGTTTGCACCCGCTACCTGGCCAGGCCATTTTTCAGTGTTCAGCGCTGCAGTACTGACATTTATTCCGTCATGCAACGCTGTACTGAAATAAATGTTATACCATTTTTTGGGGCCAGATAGAGCTTTCTTATGGTGGTATTTATTCACCACTGGGAGTAGGGTTGCCACCTGTCCAGGATTCACCCGGACAGTTCGGGTTTTGAATGCTCTGTTCGGGTTTCATGGCAGCAGAAACCCGGACACAAAATGTCAGGCAGACAGGGTAAGTTTTGGATTATTCTACCGAGTGCTGGTGATTCCTCTTCCTACCCCTTAGTGCAGGGGTGCCCTCAATTTTTTGTGTTAAGATCTACTTTTCAAATGACAAGCTACATGAGGTCTACCAACGAAAAAAAACCCTCCCTTGCTCTCTCCTGGCTGTCTCTCCTCGCTCTCTCTCCTACCTGTCTCTCCTTGCTCATCCTCCTGGCTGTCTCTCCTCTCTCTCTCTCTTGGCTGTCTCTCCTCGCTCTCTCTCCTACATGCCTCTCCTTGCTCATCCTCCTGGCTGTCTCTCCTCTCTCTCTCCTGGCTGTCTCTCCTCGCTCTCTCTCCTACCTGTCTCTCCTTGCTCATCCTCCTGGCTGTCTCTCCTCTCTCTCTCTTGGCTGTCTTTCCTCGCTCTCTCTCTCTCCTGGCTGTCTCTCCTGGCTGTCATTCCTCGTTTTCTCTCCTGGCTGTCTCTCTTTGCTCCCCTGGCTGTCTCTCCTTGCTCTCTCCCCTGGCTGTCTCTCCTTGCTCTCTCCCCTGGCTGTCTCTCCCCTGGCTCACCTTGCTGTATTTTGCAAACAGTGCAGTGCAACAGGTTGTGTATACTAATATTCTTTGATGTAATACATAGCACTTCAACCCCCAGAATCCACCAGAAAGGTGTCAGGGAGCTTGGCTCAGCAGACTCGGGCTAATAGGTAATCATGTGTGTGCACAGCTAAATAAATATACCAGAATGGAATAAAGGGGCCGCCATTCACACCCTTTGTGATCTACCAGCATCAGCTTTGAGAGCTACTGGTAGATCACGATCTACCTAATGGGCACCCCTGCCTTAGTGTTACTTCTGTAAACTTTGACCGATTAATGATCTATTTAAGATCCATCACATGAGATGATCTCTGCTATGTGAACCACAATGATTTATACGGGCTGTCACTATGAGATTGTAGATGAGTCTATGCTCGGCGGTTATAGATGGATTTGTAACAGGTTCTCTTCTGCAAAAATAAAAACTGACGTCTGCATGTCAGTGACTGGTTTGTGCAGATCATAAATATCCCCGTTCTTCTTTATTGTTTGAGTTAGATAATCCTATAGGAAGGGGGATATGGATATAATAACAATGAATCATTTCCTCTCACTGCCTAAGAAATGAATATAGTTCCTCATTTGTGTTAGCTTTGAATAGAGTGGATAAGAGTTAAAGTCCAACTGAATCTGAGGTTTTTAATGTGTGAAATGTTATTAACGGGTATTTAAGTTCTCTTCTGCAGGAGGAATGTAACATTCCCCAAAACCTTAACTGGAATGCACCGTCATACCCCCCTCCCGCCCCAGAACGCAAGGAGGCTCACAGTATGCGATCCAATGCACTGGCATTGGTGTGAAAGGGCCCTCAAGAAGAACTCCAGGAATTGACCAAGAAAAACTAGCAGTTAACCCTTGCCGTGCGGGGATAGCCCCACTGCAAGGGCCAATAAAATATCTGCCTGGAGTTCTTCATTCAAATCTTGAATGAACCTTACCCCTCCTTTTAAACATGGGCACCTCCATGCCACTGACTCGTAAAACTAATTACATAATTCAAATACAAAGGTTACTTATAATTAAACCTCTTTGACTCACCAATTGAAGACAATACATTTCGTATGAACCTTTGTGATAATTACCCTTTGTATTTCAATGATATAATGAGTTGTATGAGTCAGTGACATGTTATAGTTCTGTTATATGGTATGTCTGTTATATGTGCTGTGACTAAATACATGAACTACTTTGATACAAAACGAATGTACCGTTGGAGCCGACAAACCCCAGTGCTCTTATAATCTTTTACCTTGTTATATTTGGTTACATATATCAGCACATTCTGATTTTTTTAGTATTATACATACTGAAAAGCGCCACGTAAAATGCAAAAGGAGCCTTAATCTGATGTAATGAAGATTTCATCACTAGGCGGGGAGTACTCTGGTGCTCCGAGACCTCATCATGCAAATGTCACTTCCAGCAAACTAAAAACATTATTCTTTCCCATATATTCATCACAGTGGTGTCATTGACATGTGGAATAATCTGCGGGGTAACTCAGCTCCTGAGCGCAGACGGACGTCACATCACATTGCTGGAGCGGAGGTAAGTATAGATGGAGATGAGCTCCGCTATGTATGTATATATCATGCCAGAGGTAGATGAAGTAAAGTGAACCTGCCCAAGAGCATGCACTATAAAATCTCTATTATTACCATTACCTGCCAGAAAAGTATCTTCGGTGCTCCACTCTGATCTAGTTTCACTTTGCTACTAGGGCCTAATTTCATAGCTAAGCCTTGCCCTCTGCCATTCAACCTATCCAATGAGCATGCCTTAGTGGCCAGTATGTGCCCATCTATTGGACATGGGGTTGGCAGTAGCAGGGACTATAGTCCATATATAGGCCATATAATCATGAAAAATCAGGGTGTCTTAGAGCAGTGGTTCTCAACCTGTGTAACTTCAGGACCCACATTTGCCTTGGTCATTAAGTCGCGACCCAAGTCCCACTGCAATGGAATGCAGGGCATTGCAGTACCGGGCATTCACGTTGAGGCGATCAGACTGTGGGTGGGAGGTGCATTTTGGGTATCATTCAAATGAATGGCAACACACCTTCCACGACAGAATACACCGTAGGTATGATTGCATGGTGCTGAGCATTAATCGCATGGGACTGTGGATTATTGCACTGTACTAGTGTGAATGGACCCTCAAAAACCACTGAGACACACATACATATATACACATACATATATATTTTTTTTGTGTAAGACCCACCCAGTCTCCCTATCTTATGAGAACCAGTGGAAGGTGCAGTTGGACAATAGAAAGCAGTGGCAGCAGCTGCACGCACATGCACAAATCCAATCCATGTGTTTTGGGGCTGTGTGCACCTTCCTGAACGCAGACAGTCTGCATTCAGGGAGGCGTATGCAGCCCTGTACTCACGTAGCTGCCTGGATTTGCATATAATTGCATAAATATATGTGCAGCTGCCACCTGCTATTGTTTTGTGACCGCCAGCTGTATGCTGCATCTGACACTCTGGACAGAGAAAATATGGCCGTATTCTACGCTATACGGCCATTTATTGCCGTGTGTATGAGCCCTTATAGTTTATCCAAACCCTTGCCACTGATATTGATCATCTTGATCTGCATGTCAGTGTGGATAAGAATATAAATAAAAGCATTTCAGCCAAAAATGAATTTAAATACTGAATACGATCCTATAGCTATTGACCCCATTCAGTTATTGGAATACAATATTTTTCACAACAGCGATATGTACAGCATCCCGGTCAATGTTGGATCTTAATTTAAAAAAAATTAAAAAGTAATTAAATCTTTCTTGTTGGAGAAGTAACATTCTTATAAGGAGATGAGAAAGGGAGGGGATTTATTTTAACAATGAGATTCCTGATATTCCCCAAATCATTTACATAGATTGTTTCTGCACAGAGAAAAGGATGCTGCTGATGCAGACGAAAGTTCTGACAAAAGCCAACAGAGTCAAAGAGAAGATAAAAAAAGATAATGCTTTCTCATTTAACGCTTACACAAAGCAAGAAATAATTGGCAGAGGGCTGATTACAGCCAAGAATGTGAAGAATGCCTTGGAATGACTTGCACTTTGCCTTAGAATAGACTTTCTGATCCTGGCTTTGAAACAATGACATT